TCATGATTGCCTTTACTACTTCCTTCACCACTTCCTACGTCACGGACCTGTTTCCCTTCCTTCCCACAGCATTTTAGGATTGCAAATACCTTAATGAATCTGAATCTTAATCTAATCGTCATAAATAGTTCCCACACTCTGGACAGCTCGCCTTGACTACTTCCTTCACCATTTCCTACGTCACGGACCTGTTTCCCTCCCTTCCCATAGCATTTTAGGATTGCCCAGACCCTTATCTAATCGTCATAAACAGTTCCCACACTCCGGACAGCTTGCCTTTATTACTTCCTACGTCACGGACCTGTTTCCCTCCCTTCCCATAGCATTTTAGGATTGCCTTTACTACTTCCTTCTCCACTTCCTACATATTCCCATAGCATTTTAGGATTGCAGATACCTTAATCTAATCGTCATAAACAGATCCCAGACTTCGCACTACTACCCTTGACTACAATGTGTCGTATAATCTTCAGTATAATCTTTGCTAAATATTACCAAGTGATTTTTTTCCCTTTGTACTGTATTTATAATTTGCTAGTATACTGTGGGTAGTTGGCTTATTATGAACACATGCTACAACTTCAAGTCTTTTGTTTACTTTTTCCTTGTTATTTAATTCAGCCAACATGGTTACTTAGCAACCCATAAGACTAATGTTAAAAAAAATTGATTTTCAGTTTCATTTTTCTACGTAATTAGATTTTTTTTGGTAGTTCTAACTGCAGTAAACTCGTTTTTAGGCCAGAAATAAACTATTTACAACATTTGAAGAAAATCGTCGGAGCCGTTTTCGAGATCTTGGTACAAGCAAGCAAGCATACATACATACAAGCAAACATTGCTCGTATTAGAGTATAGGATTTTCCTTGGTTTAATTTAATCAGTGATGTGACAAAACACAAGTAATAAACTTATCAAATAAAGTAAATGTGAACTGAAAGCTATGTTAAGATAAAATAAGAGTATTTAAATCAACGATATACAATTTAGTTATTGATGATATTCTTTAGCTTAATTTAAGCATAGGTTTAGCAAAACAAAATAACTAAATTTACCTAAATATACATATATATATAAAACAATGTGATGTGAAAGTTATGTTAAGTTAATCTAACACATGTTAAGCAGTTTGAATTTATTTAAAGTAGACTCCAAATTCATATAAAACATCTATACATTGTAATTTTCTTATTGTTTCCATGAAAATATATCAATAATATTATTTTTATAACACTAAAGACACCTTAAAAATTGAAAGTAGAGCCTGAGTAGTGTTGATGCAGCAATGCTTTTAGAATATTTGTTTATTTCTATAATCATTGACATAGTTTTTGAATAAATGATCTTTGATACATTTTTAGATTAAATAAACCAACCACATAATTGTATGAAATCTTACTAATATTATAAATCTGAAAGTTTGTGAGTTTGTGTGTGTGTTGCTCAATCACGCATAAACTACTGGATGGATTGGGCTGAAATTTGGCATGATGATAGCTCACATTCCCGATTAACATTAAAGCATATTCTTATCTCAAAAATCCTTTCGGGCTCCGCCCCAGTGGCTCTGTAGTTCCCCATTTTAACCTTATGATTTTTCATATTTAAAAGGAATTAATGAATCTTAACAGCTGTTTCCATTAAACAAGTTGGTTCTGTTCTATGATGTTCAATAGCATAAAAGTTACAAGGATTACCAACAGGGTGCAGTACTATTATTTTTTTTTTAATTTATGACAACAGCTAATTTCCAACCAAAAGGTGAGTGAGCGTAGCGAACGAACTTCAACCAGGACGTGATTGAGCGATGCGAACGAGATCATCTTGAAAATTAAACGTAACGGTACTTTCTTTCCATCGGTCTGGGGAAACCTATAACTTAGGTGATACGAAGTTCGCCGGGTCAGCTAGTTACTATACAGAAAAATGAGCGTTAATTTTGACATCTAAATACTATACAGCTGCAATTATTACTCAGGTGGTATACAAATTCTAGACCAGTTCTAGATTAGCTACATACTTGTAATTTTCGGTGGTTGTAGGTCTAGTGCCCAAACCACCCATACAATTCCAAAAATTTCAAATTTTAACCCCCCCCCCGTAATCTTTAATTCCCCCCCATGTTATTCTTATGGGGAATAACATTAAAGTGGCCAAATTTAGTGAGTTCATCTGAACGGTTTAGAAACGTGCTAGAGACATGAAATTTGGTAGTAACGTAGTATGGTATCTTAAATTAAAGGGGAAATTTGCAAAAGTCCCATTTTCAAATTTTAACCCCCCAAAAATCCAAAATGGTGGACCTCTGAAAACGACAAAACACGTTTTTTTCAAAGGGCTATAGCTCAAATACCCCCGCCGCAGCAAACCTGCAGACTAAGCGAATTTCCATTTGATTTACACTGAAATGTCTACTTAAAAATATAACATTTATTCCCGATTTAAATAGAATTAGTTTAACAAGTACTTAGGTTTGCTGCATCAGGGAGGTAAAACTGTTTTTTTTTATGTTAATAGTTAGTAAGAAATAAAAACATTTTTTAAATTTTGATCAAAATATGTTCATAAACAAGCAAACTACAACAGTTTACTTATTCTCCATAAGAATAACATGGGAATTTTAAATTTACAATTTTTTGGAATTTTCTCCGTAACCATTAGGCGCATAATAACGCTTCAATATACTAAATTATTTGTTTTTTTAAGCTCTACAAAATGGTTTGGAAAGAAATTGCTAAATTTTATGTTTTTTGGGTCAAAAATGCGAAAAACCTATTTTTACCCCATAAAACCCCCCGTAAACCCCCGTTCCCATGGTCCGATCATGCTGGATCGCGAACTCGTTCGAATAAACGTAGGTTTACACGTTTGTACCGAATTTCATCAAAATCGGATCATTTTTGCTCGAGTTATAGTGCTAACGGACACATATATATATATATATATATATAAATATATAAATATATATATATATATATGAATTTGAACGGATGGTGTTTTTGGTCTCTAGGGACCTCGAAACAAAAAAAAAAAATCGGTCCCGCGTCCAGGTCTTACCATGAGTACTACGGTAATAGCTTATTCCCTATATGGGAAATTCGCTAAAACGGTAAGAGCTAGAAAAGATTTGAAAGAATTTTCATGAACAGGAATTAAATTTTCTACAAAACCCTGTTCAGCGTTTTCCGAAAATCGCACTCCTTCAGTTTCAAAAAACGCCCTACTTTCAAAATTTGGTAAATTCCTTTCAAGTTTTAAAATTATTATCTAGTAAAAAGTAGTGAAATTCATAAAAATAAATCTAACAAAATTTACCAATTTTTGAAAGTAGGGCGTTTTTCAGGGGTGAAGGGGTGTGATTTTCGGAAAACTTCTTGCAGTGTTTTGTAGAAAATTTAATTCCTGATCAAATCATTCTTTAAACATTCTTTCAAATCTTTTCTAGCTCTTACCCTTTTTGAGTTATTGGTAGACGTTTAAAAATGTGTTTTTTTTAGACAACCACCATTTTGGATTTTTGGTCGGGTTAAAATTTTAAAATGGGACTTTTGGGAATTTCACCGTTAATTATTTAGGATCCTATACTACAATACTACCAAATTTCAAGTCTCTAGCACGTTTCTAAACGAATCAGATGAGCATACCAAAGTCTTTAAATTTCATAGTTATTCTTCATAAGAATAACATGGGGCTTGTAAAAGTGGTAAAAACCTTTAAAATTTTGACATTAAACCTAAGTTTTGGGGGTGAAGGAGTAAAGTTACGAAAAACATTTAATGAGTAGACTTTAATGTAAACTAAGTTAAATATAAAGAATAAATAATATTTGCAAAACAAAATTCTTAGGTAGACAAAAATAGCGAAAATCATATTAAATTTGAAAGAAATTTACCAATTTTTGAAAGTAGGGCGTTTTTTGAATGTGAAGGAGTGTGATTTTCGAAAAAACTCCTGAAAGTGTTTTGTAGAAAATTTAATTCCTGATCATTTCAATTCTTTTAAGTCTTTTATAGCTCTAACCGTTTTAGAGCTATAGCCATTTAAAAAAACGTGTTTTATTCGTTTTCAGGTGTCAGCCATTTTGGATTTTTGAGGGGGTTAGAATTAGAAAAAAGGACTTTTGTAAATTTCACCGTTAATGTAAGATCCGATAAAAAAATACTACAAAGCTTCAAGTCTCTAGCACGTTTCTAAACGGTTCAGATGAGCACACGAATTTGACTATTTTCAATGCTATTCCCCGTAATAATAACATAGAGGGGAAATTTGAGATTTCGGGGGGGTTAAAATTTGAAAATGTCATTTTTCAAAATGTTTGCAGGGGTTTGGGCCCAAGACCAAGAAGACAAATTTAAACTCCCTATCACCTCTACAAGTGCCCAAACATTTTGTATACCTGAGTCAGTTACATATGCGGCTGTATAGTATATGCACATGCGCCCCCACCCTAAGTTGTTTTGTTAACCACCCCTGGAGGCGACGACATGGGGTTTTACTCACCTCGGCCCCTATTACCAAAATCAAAAGTCATTTTAAATGAATCTTTTACTTACGTTTAATAACAAGGGAGTTAAAAGCGGTTTGCCGATTAGCGTTTTTCGCAACTTTGCGCCCCCACCCCTAAGTTGTCGACCACCCCTCGACAAAATGTCATCGAGGCGATGACATGGGTTTTTACACTTACCTAGGCCCCTTTTACTAAAATCTAAAGTCATTTTAAATGAATCTTTTACTTACGTTCAATAACAAGGGAGGTAAAAGTGGTTTGCCGATTAGCGTTTTTCGCAACTTTGCGCCCCCACCCCTAAGTTGTCGACCACCCCTGGAGGCGACGACGTGGGTTTTTACACTCACCTATGCCCCCATTACCAAAATCAAAAGTCAAAATCTCTGACTCTTTTCATGCATACTCAACTGCACCTAGCGCCTGTACTACAGGGTGAGGCACAAGCTTCATCGTTAGGACTTAAGATTAAAGGAGGAAATAAAAAATACACACATAACAATAATAAATAATCATTTCCTTGTGCTAAACTCAATATAACACAAAATACAACGGGCTCGACTGAACAAGATTTAACCAGGTACCAATTGCTATCACTTATTTTCCAGCTAAATATATACAATATTGGCAAGTAGTAAAACATATTTACATAATCTGGAAATGAATTTGGATTTAGTTTTGTTTAAAAACAGTTTACAATGCTGATAGTAAAATAACACAGTTACCGATATATCAATATAACATCACAAGCTTGAAATTACATATTTACAAAACTACAATTCTAAAAAATTAACATATCAAACATTAACACTTAACATACCATTGTTATCCCTGATAACTTTGAAGCAAGTTCTGAAGACAAATGTTTTTTTTAAGATTTTAAGGCGCATAAAATAGTTATAGTGAGCTATCTGTTTCTTTTAGTTAAATTGCTAGTTTTTTTAAACCTTAAATTCTTATTTTTTTATTAGTCTGTGCAATAACAAAGATAATTAAGGACTTTATTCCCAGCTAGTTGATAATTCTAACACTGGTTGTATTCTACAGTACAAATTTATCTTAGTACAGAAATAGAAGAAATTATTATTGGCTTTAAACTTAAAACAAAGCTTTGCACTAGCAAATTCAGAGATGTAAAGAAAACGTGTCCGGTGTCAGTTGATTTCAAAGTTAGTCAAATAAAATGTAGCAGAGGGTTTCAACATAAATAGATTGATATGGAATATATTTTTTGTTTGTCTCACTAACGTATTAGAAACAAAACTAAAAATGGTTACAACAAGCAAAGCTAAGGTGTATCAAAAACATACATATAAATAGACAGTTCTATAAATCATAGTATTAAAATATTTGGTTTTATATTTTCATGTCTCTTTGAAAAAAAGGTCTAACTTTTATTGGAAAGAGGTAACTTAGTCTTTAAATAATAACAACTGTTATGTGTTCTGTTTAGAATATAAAATTCAGTTTTTCATTTGGTTTATTAGATAAAAATCTTTATTTATTACTAGACTTACGTTTAAACTACATATTTACAAACTCAACTGTAGTCTTACAGTCAAAAGGTCCACAGTAATAACAACCATTGAGTTAAGTATTGAAAGTTATAACATTTTTACAATAAATATAATTTGGAGGTATATTTTACATTAATTTTAATATTCGTGGAACGGAAAATAAAGTTGTTATTACAGTGGTTAGGTTAGGTCAGATCCAAGATAACGCAGCCAACAGCCATTTTGTTTCAAGATAGAAGACTCGGACAGCTGCTTGCATCTCCGTAAAGGATTTTCAGACTTGCTTACCTGCGCAGAAACTCCAATTATAATTGTTTGTGAAAGGATTTTGTAACCATCCATAAAAATTATATAAGTACAACAGGATGCTTTAATTTTTTTTAAGGTTTTAATAATTCTATCTATAATAAATTGGTAGTTGTACCTTAAGTACATTCATAAGTAGTAACTTACTGAAAAGTTAACGCATTTTTGGGAGTTTTCTAATGTGTCCCTGCATTTTAATTTTTTCCTCAAGCCACTAAATGTTAGTAGAGCAACAAGGGAGGATTCTAGGGATTATAGGCTAGGTTAAGCTAGTTTTTGGTAAAAAAAAACATGGTTGAACAAAAATGTACTTTAGTTATATACACACATATTATCAAGCAAAAATCATTTTGCTAAGTGTGATGTAGCACTTAGGTTATGGTATGTTAATAATAGTATGACATTTTTAGATGTTTTGCTAGCTCTTCGCTCGGGTAAACTTTTAAGTTGTAAATGAATTCATCAACCTAATATATATATATTTTTTTTTAACAAGAATTTATTTACAATCTATTAGCAGTTAATATTATGAATCAACATTGGATGATGGATATAAACTACCAATTAGATGAATCACTTTTCCATGCACTTAGAAAATAGGCAAGAACATCTACAAGAAAATGTAAATTCACTTCCATAAGTTCCAGAGTTATAAAAAAATAACACATAATATATTGTTTATATGCTATTTGTATCATGTAAGGTAACATTTCTCATTCTTATATTGTTTATATAGGCCAATTCAATAAAAATTACATTAGAACCTTTATTACAAGTCTCTTATGGTGATTATTAAGTAAGACTCATTAACGAGGTAAACTTTGTATAGACTTTGCAAAAACATTTGATAAGGGGCAATATAAAAACGAGGATACTTGAAAATAACACTTGTTATCAAGGGTGACTTGTTATCGAGGTTTCACTGTGTAAACACTTACCGTCTCACACATTACTGGGATCAGAGGACTTGCGACGCGGAGGACTGGCTGTAGTAGATGATGGCTGCTGTGAAGTTGACACCAGCTGCTAGTACAAACACAGGGAACCATCGTCCGTGTGAGGTGGTTACCAGCTCCGCTGTGAGTGGTCCACACAGTATACCAGGGATGGTAGCCTACAGTAGACAAACAACTTTCAAAACTACACATAATCAGGTTGGTCACAGAACTCTGGGGAAAAATTCACACATTTCCCCCGGTTTCCCGTTGCCAAGTGTACCTTTTTACTAGGGATCTGGGGGTCCCCAATATTTTTGAGTGGGTTGTGTCAACTCTTGGGGGATCAGTTTGTAAAAAATTACTCAGCTAAGCTTGGGCCAAATCAATCCGAGCGTGTATTTCTGCGGTTGCGGAAAGCATTAGCAAAGATGCACAATGGAAAATAACACTTTCTTTGCGATCTCATGGGATGATGATTTTACCATGAACAAAGATTGTGACGATATTTCCATTACCTCGGAGGGTAATTCCGATTTTGACGTGACTGCAGAAGATATACTAGATTTTTTTTTTTAATTGCAGAAGCTGTTCTAGATTTTACCATGACCATAGAAAATGTTCTTCATTTTGTTGAGATCGCGGAAGATGTTCAAATTTTAACCATGACCATGGAAGATGTTCACGAATATGTCGTGCCCGTAGACAATGTTCAAGATTTCGCCATGACCGGCGAATGGGGAGGCGATGTTTTGACAGTCGGTTTTTCATTTAAATGGGGTTTCATGAGCATTTACACAGGCAATACAGTACATCCCAGGGTAAAAAAGACTCTTGTAAATTAGTCTTAAATATATATTACAACAGTAGGGCACTAAAATCTCAAAATACTTGTATAATTCTCACTCTTGGCAACCAGGAAGATATTACAAGTTGTGTAAATAACATTTTACGTTTTTTTTTTACTTTTTCATTGAAACGGCGACCATACAAAATAGGTATTTTAAGCCAAGTATGAATGAAGATGAGTGCAGTTGTGTGGCGCGATCTTGTAGTCTTGTTAGTGACTAAGGCCGATATATTCCTTAGACACAGCTGTTGAATAATATCCCATACAGCTAATGGCAACTAAGGGACCTACAGTTTTTAGTGGAATCCAAACCACATTTTTGCCATGGTATTAACAAATTGGTCTAATTATCAGGATAGTACTGCGGATAGTTGTAGTACTCACTAGTGCGGGCGTTAATCCACACCAGGGAGTATCGCATCCACAGTGCATGCCCATAAATTTCCACAATTTGTGACCTCATAGTAGCTGGATTACAGGACGACGCCACCGTCCCAGTCATGGTAACTGCTTATAATAAGCTTATAAATTGTATTTATCAACTGGTTGGTGCCATCCTCATTCTTTTAAGCTGACGACGGTCTCTTAAAAACTTGTTACAAAATAGTAGTAAGTGAGATAAACGAGTAATTAATTAACATACAGTACCCTAACAGTAGTCACTAGTCAGCACTTACCAGAGTGTTTGAGATGGCGAATGTGATGCCTGCGTGGTTGGGTGCAATATCCGCGTGGTTGCTGAGGTGTCCGGCGGAGTTGCTGGCACACAAACCCATCGATATTGATACAAACCTGCAGCAAACATGTTATTGTATCAAACGCATGTGTATGATAAGAAGCACATTGGAATTTTGTTGGATTAGCACACTTACCTGAATGGGAATGGGTCTAATCTGGCACAAGAAACACAACTACTTTGTATTGTACACAAAAATTAGAATATTTCATTCACTGACAGCATTTTTGACCGAGAAAGGTATCAGTTTGGAAGTAAGAACTTTGGGTCCAATTGTAGCCTAAGAAAGTGTCAATGAAATACTTACATTTTTGTGTATGTGTAAATTCGTTTGATTCCTTGTGCTGACGTGGACTCTTTCCTATTCAACTAAACTAAGCCTATAGGCCTAACAAAGATGTGTGTGTCACTAACTGTAAAGCTATTCCAGAAATCGAGAAATCTGTAGCTTCAATTTCTGGCTCTTACAACAGCATCTGTTGATTTGAGAAATTTAGGTGATATTCTTGTTGTCTTGAAGTAAACAAACCCGTAACTATAATAAGCTTAACCGCCGGAATACCTTTATCAACCTAAAGGTAACAAAAATCATCTAGCATAAAAAATCATGTTCATGGTCATATTACTGCAAACAGGTCCCAGAAGGTTGCGGCATTACCACATTATCCATGGTCATTGGCAATTGGCCGGAATTAAACACCGGATATTACTAACCGAAGCCCTGTGCTCTTCCAATAGATGAGCTGGCTCCTCTAAGAGTAGAAAATAGTTGTTGAGAGGCAATTCTATATGGCATCCATAAATTTAAAGAAGATAACATGTAGCTCGTAATTTATATACTTACACGACAGCAGCCAGTAGATTGTCGACTGCGCAGAACGCCAACAGGAATATCCCGGGTCCGATGAGTCCCACACTGGTCATGAGTCTGCGTACAGACAGCACAGACCAGCGACGGCTCACCAACCTGTCGGCAAAGTGGCCTGCCACAATGCCGATAAGACTGTTGACAATGTACGGGACTGCGGTGAGACTGATGCTCTCCTTGTTGGCTCCAAGATTACGAGAGAGATAAGTCGGCAGCCACTGCATAATGATGTAGTTGGACCAGTTCATGGCAAAGTGAGCCACGTACACGGCCCATAGCGGCCAATGACATACAAACTCTGTCCATCTCACATTGGTGTTGGTTACCTAAATCACAGGCAGTAATATTAACACCACAAACGTTTGTAGACACACATTACACACAAAACATAAAAATAGTGTTTTCCAAGAAGTGTACTAAATTTAAATCTTACAATTAAAAAAATTATGTATGTCTCAGAAGAAAAACGAATATCAACCCCTTTTTTTATGACAGAAAAAAAGGGTGAGGGTTTGAGGGGTATGCGGTCCCTGAAATTTTAGGGTTGACCGGGCCAACAGTTGGCTAAAGTTCTCGGTTTGGGCTGAAAATAAGTTTCAAGCAAAACTCTTGTCAGATCATTAATATTATAGAATTTAAAGCAGAATTTTTTGATCCCAAAAATCTACTGCAAAGATTGCGGGATTAAATACAATCGATTTTGGGTACCTTGGTATTAAACCGACCACAGCTAAATTGGGTTAGGTTACCACACCTAGGTTAGGTTAGGTAAATCTATAGATATAACCTATAAGATGACCGGAATCCAACCTAACCTAAGGGTAACCAATTTAGGTGAGGTTGGTAAAATACCAAAGTACCATTTTGCCTAAACTGGGGAAGATGTTTATGATTTCGCTGCAATTACAGAATACGCTCTAGATTTCACTGTGGTTAAATATATTCCATAAACAGATTGTAATATCGGCATAACTAGATGACCCTATGGGGGGAGGGTTACATCAAGGGGGTCTGGGAGGTATTCTGGAAAATTTTTGAAAACTAGACCTGTAAAATCTTGTTTTAGGCTAATTAGAGACATATTGGGCCAACCCAATTTTTACCCCGAGACCCAACCCGAGGTAAAAAAGCCCAGCCCTATTAACATTTTTAAACATAACACTCACATCAACACTTTATGTTTAAATTGATAGTACGAATCTTAAAAAAAATTTAATTACTTTAGGAACAAAGAGTGGAATCTCATCTTTGGCGAGGGAAGTGCTGTCGTTGTAGAAGATGAGCCAGATGAAGACCCACACGATACCCAGCGTTCCGAACAGGTAGAAACTTGTCTGCCACGCCAAATGAGGACAGATCTGTACACAGATAAAGATTTGTTACACTAGAAAATAAATGCTTATAGTTTAAAACGTTGTTTGTATGTGTACATACATACATACATACACTCAAGAGAACCTCTCACTTCGAGACCTACTTTTTTGTTTTAGCATGTTCCCCCACAGTAGGGAACATCATTATTGTCTTTGCCGATTGCAGCAAAATTTTGACATTACATGCAGTAAAAAATATAAATATATGCCCAAGGGAGGGGGCGGTTGCCCCCTTCCTCCTTCCTTGGATCCGCCACTGTTTAATTTTATAGTTTAGAAAAGTATTTTGTTTATTTTCATTTTTACTACTTACAATAGAAGCAACAGTCTGGCCAACTGAACCAGCTGCCACTAGGTAGCCGAATGCTCTGGATCTCTCCTCTATCGGAACATTATGTGCGAAAATGTGGAAAATTGTTGGTAAGCCTGGCAAAAAAACAATGTATGAAATATATTTGCTCTTTGAATGTATTTGTGACACTAACACAACATTCTTGACATTCGCTGATGACTGTGTCATTGAACTGGCAAAAATATCGGTTTAGTCAGTTAAATGATAATGAGATAATTAAATTTAAGATCATTTTAAAAATTGAGATAAAAAAATTTAAAAAAGAGATAATTTAAATTATAATTATAATTGCCTACACTTGACAAAGTCCCTCAGGGGACGAAATATTGTGTGCACATGCTCAATGTATTTTCTACATGTTCTATGGCCTACCTACACTTTCAAGGTAAGCTAGCTGCTATCCTACTTTTTCTACAATTTAAATTATAGTTGAGTTCAATTTAAGCTTGACTCTATGTAGCAATAGCAAACGCATCCAAAATGTCAGCTAGTAAGTAGAAATTTTTTGATGCGTTGCTACTAGGCTAGAGGTGGGCAGGTAGTGACTTTTCAATTCAAGTATTTTTGCCAGTTGAGTTCAACAAAAGTATTATTCCCCTGGTACAACCTATAAAAACCGTTTATAAGGGATATTGATCTTTATTTATGAGGGGTCTCTCAGGCTGATGAAAAATAAAAATGGCCACCATTCTGTAATGGGTTGAGATAGAGACCTAAACCTCTAGTTTTCACTGTTATTCTTTAAACTGATTGCCTTTGAATGAGGTGTCACTTAAGGGGTTTTACAATTGATATTTTTGAGCTGCCCCAAAATAACCCATTTTGGTGTTTGGGCAAAATTAGGATACCAACAAAAAAGTGTACTTTTATGCCATTTAGAGGTGTGCCGAGTTTGGTTTTCCTTGTGTAATCCATTACAAATTTAATAGGGGTAACCTTACTTTCGCCCTGCATAAATAGAACCTCTTCCCATGTGGAGTAATAGACTGCCCATTTCCATGCCAAAGTTGTAGCCAATTAAGGTCTGTAAATTAACATAGTTGAGTTGAACCACTGACAAATTGCGCTGTCAATAACCGATATTGTATGCGCCGACTTTTTAAACAAGCCATACTGACACTACTTACAACATTAGTATCTTTTATGCCTCATCATTTACAAACGTATTGAAAACTTGGGAGGAAATAGAGTTATAACAGTAGCACACAAAGAGAGGGCTCCTTCAACTATTTATTTGAATCAAAAATTGGCTTCAGCTAGTTTATAAATGAGATGTGTCTAAAACTCAATGATAGAACCGTACAATTAGAGAAGCAAACCTACCGAGGCCCTCGCCAAGTCCTAGTAACACTCGGCAGAATATCAACGAAGGTATGGATGTGGCTAGCAGTGGAGTAACAGAGGTGGAGACTGACCATAGGAATACTGCGAAGAGAAGAACGGTTTTTCCTCCAAACCTGCTCGCAGCACAGGCTCCTATCACCTTTAAATGAGAATACTAGGTTAGATTACATTAGATTTAGGCCTATGACTCTACTATACAGCTATGTATAGGAAATGACGTTGAGATTTCCTTGTTAAATACAATTTTTTTTATATTGAAAGTAAATGTTTCAGTAAATGAAAGTAAATGTTTCCAGTGGAGCCCTGGGCAAACCCAAAAGCAGTGCCCCCATTTTTTCCTAGTGCGGGCAGGCGGTGGTTGAGGGGCACCCGGTGGGCGCCCCCAATCCTTCGGCGCCCCTGGGCATACGCCCAGTCTGCCCGTTTATACCTGCATTTAAACTCTCTAGAAAATGTGCCTCATTTTGTTGCACCACCATCAAAGAGTTTTATTGAATGTGTAGTTTTATCTTTTCATACAACCACCAACCTTTTTGCAAGTTATTTGTTTGTTTTTGCGGTATAACTAATTAACTTGTTAAATCACATTCTTAATCTGTAGCTTAAACGTAGACAAACTATGAATACCAAAAAGAGATCTAAATACACATTAGCCTACCTGACTTGTAAAATAGCCGAAAGCAAAGGCAGACAATATCCACCCTTGCCAGTGAAGGCTCCATTTGAATTGGTCGGTCATTGGAACAATGGCAATCGGCATGATCACTCTGTCTGCTGCGTTTATAAAGTTGGCAATGGAACACAGCCCGACGATCCTTGACGTCTTGGGCTGCATTCTCGCGTTGTGTAGCATCTCGACTGGATCTGATTTATGATTCTACATTATAAACAGCCTATTCGGAGAAACCTGTAACAGTGAACAGTTCAGTTCTGTGGAACTTTTTTAAAACAAGGTATTAGGTTCCTATTTTGACTCCAAGCAGGGCCAATTCTGAGCCAAGATGACTATTTTCGTTAGGCTGCCGCTCAATGACCATCGGCAATGTTACTAGTCCATGGGAATTACCAACAATATAAGGGTTTGGACTCATCTCTTAGGTAAAGAAATAAGTTATGGGCAATGGTGTTGAAGAGTAGGCTACAAAAATATGGATAAAAATTTGGATTAGTTTATTTTATAATAATAATGAACAAGGTAGGATTTATGAAAAAAAAGTTGACGTGTTGTGTAGGCTAACTTAAATTTACAAACACAGGTATGTCAATTCATATTTGTGTCCTCTTTTTTCATAAGTTTAGAAGAAGGTAAAGTTGTTCAAAAGGTACCTACCTTGTTTGAAATTGAAGGTTTTTCTTTACTAAATGATTGCTCCAAAAATCATAATTGAAAGCTCATTAGGTACTTTATGGCAAAACTTTGATATCCAACTACACTTTGATTGATAAGTTATAGGCTAACAATTTTTGTTTAGGTTATGATAAGTTTGGTTATTGATTGAATCAATACTTTTGTGATCGATAAGTTTACTACGGACAAAATTGAAATTATTACCTTCATCAGCCAGCTCCTGTATTGTTACCAATGTTACGGCCGTTTCAGCATCACTGTAGGTCTACCATCATCAGGCTATTCAGCCAAAAGGCGTCGTTATAACACAAAAACATTACACGAAACACACACATAGTCAAAACAGGATTTTAAAAAACAGGCCTGTTGAGGAACGTACATTTCCACACTCGAGCAAGTAGCTGAAATTGGTAAGCAAGTAGCTGTATTGGTAACAATATAGGAGCTGGCTGACGTAGCTAATATTTCAATTTAGTTATAGAAACAGCTCAGGGGCGAGAAAATATGGATTATATTACTATGCCTGGAGTCGGATATTGATTTTGGTTTCAATTTTTCCAAGGGTCCTCGACAATGTTATTCTCAAGTAGGTAGCCTACCTCACAGTTCATAGAACCTACCAATAAAACTGATGTATTGTAAAAATTAACCTACTAACTTAAGTTAGGTTACCTGTCTTTGCTATAAAAAAATATCAATTTGAAAATTCCTAATAAGATTTTAAACATATGGTTTTATGTATGTTAGCCTAAGTTATGCTATTTTACAATAATAAAAATAATCATTATAGGCTTTAAGGATTAATTGGAAAATTTTAAAGTCTACATTTCTACACAAACAAATTATTCAGTTTATGTTGTGTTTGACAGACCTTTGACAAAGGTTTAACAACAAGATGTTGACTAACTTCTAGCCTACCTTCGTTTTTATAACCAACATTGAAGTCATTCAAGTGCAACTAAAATTTAAAGGGGAAAATAAAAAGAAAGTAAATAATTACTCTTGATCAATCTTTACCTTATGCCAACTCACAATCAAACGAAACGAAACAATTTTGTAACTCTCAGGTTAGGTTTACATACACTAATTTGACAATTGGCTGTTTGCTCTAGTTTGTAGGTGATGGCAAAGCAGCAAAGCTAGCATAAAGTAGTGATGTGCGATACGTATCGTATCGTATCGGAATATCGCGATACGCGAGGGACGATACGATATTTCGATACGATATTTGAAAAACGATACGTATCGTATCGCCTAAAACGATATTTGTATTTATATCGGCACATAGAGCGATACGATTCATGTCAAAACGATATTTTTAAGCTTTTTTGCGCAGGCTGAGCAAACTGCAAAATCTGTACTCTGTGGATGTGTAGTTTGAAATAGGAGTTTTTGATGTCTGTATTTTTGGTTTTTACTTGATAATGTACCAGTCCCATCCACTGAGCTAAAATTATAACTGGAGGTAGCATAGCCATGGCAGAAGTCTGTCAAAAGCGTGTCGCTGATTTTGTTAGGTTGGTATAGCAGTGGGTTTTCTTATCATAGCAATAACATGGCTTCTTATAACTAGGTTGGTATAGCAGTGAGTTTTCTTGTCATAGCAATAACATGGCTTCTTATGACATGACACCCGCCTCACGCAAACATGGCGGCTGGCGACACGCATCTTTGACATTCAGTGCTACCTCCAGTTAGATTGATAACTCAGTGATCCCATCCCAGTCCATTTCCACTAGCGTGCTATGGCTATCTGGCAGTCTGGCACTAGCAGTGCAGACTGCAGACTGCAGAATGTGGGAACTGTCTGTGGCTGTGGCAATTACATTAATGTATCTGCAATCCTAAAATGCTATGGGAAGGATAGGGAAACAGGTCGAAGACGTAGGGAGTTGTGAAGGAAGTAGTAAAGGCGAGCAGTGTGGAGTGTGGAAATGGAAATATGTATCTGCAATACTAAGACTGTTTTCAGAGTAAACTAATGATTTTCCTCGAGCAAAGCTTGGTCCCCTGGTACTTATATAAATTTGCCGTTTCTAGGTTAGGTAGGGGAGGGGGGAAACGATACGATACGTATCGTTTTTCGATATTTTTGACGATACGATTCGCGTATCGCGATACAGACGCCCGATTCGATACGGCGATACGATATTTTTTTCCGATACGTATCGTATCGCAGTATCGCGATACGCGTCCGTATCGCCCATCACTAGCATAAAGCAAAATCTCCCAGATCGCTCACATGTTCCTATCCTAGAGAAACAGTACACGCATCCAATCAGCTGATAAACTAACTGTTGACAGTACAGTTGTTGAAAAATTATTTTTTAGCGACAGATTTTATATATCATTTAAAAATAATTAAAAAAGGGTACTATGGTGTATTATTTATAACATTAATTACAGTAGTAGTAGTTTAATATTGTTCACACGTGAACAATATCAAATATAATATTATATTTGTATATATATTCTTGAAGATATCTTGATAGAGTTTATAGTTCATGATACTGTAAATTAAACATGAAAAATTGCAAATTTTCGTTTAAGAGAAATGAATGAAAAGTGTAAGAATGAACAAAACAAATAAATATGAACTGTTTACAAATAGTTGAATTTTGAGAACATTATGATTGAGTACATATCAAAGAAAATAATAATATATATAAAACCACATCTATTAATTACAAGTTTACCTTGAACGTCAAATGTGCTAATAACCTTACTAATAAACGGTATCAGCATTCTGACACATACTTTCTCCCATAAGTTTGACAACAACCTTTATCATGTGTAAGCGGTGAGAGTAAATATAAGGAAATGGGATTTGTACAATTTTGTTCAGAATTTAAAGGACTATAACATACTAAATTTTTATCAAAATCGTTCGGGCCATTTTTGGGAGAATCTTATTTTTCCGTTATTTTATGGGGTTTTATGGGAAAATCCCCATTAAAAATAAAAATTTCTAAAAAATGAAAAACTATCAAAATTGTAAGGACCATAACATAAGTACTATGTTAAATCAAAACCAGATTTTTGTCTAAAATCCTATTTTTCGTTTTTTATGGGGTTTTATGGGAAAATAACATAATTTACCATAACTTTTGAACCATAATTTTTACAGAAATGGGATTTGTACCATTTTGTTCAGAATTTAAAGTGCTACAACATACTAAATTTTTATCAAAATCAAAAATCAAAATCAAAATCGGACCATTTTTGAGAAAATCTGATTTTTCCGGGGTTTTTTGGGTTTTTATGGGAAAATCCCCATTAAAAATCAAAATTTCAAAAAAATAAAAAAAACGCATGGAGATACCATGGATTAGAACCTACATACCAAATTTCATCGAAATCGGACCAGTGTAGTCTCTAGCTCTGTACACATCCAGACACACAGACACACACCCACACACAGACATCACTTCGAAAACCACTTTTTTGGGTCCAGGGGGACCCAAAACGAATATATCCACTCAAAACTCAAACTCGAAAATTTTGACGAAAACAATACTTTCTCCATATACTATGGTATAGGGGGAGAAAGTAAAAACTTAGTATACTCAGTGCTACTGTATATATAATTTGGTTATTGGGGTCTGTTTATAGTGGAAGGGGGTCTGTCTTGGGCAATCCTTTGGATCTCATACAAGTTGCAGCTTTTTTAGACTAAAAATCTAAGTCATAATGATTACTGTTAGTCCAGTCAATGAATGATCCAAAAGTAGGTGTAGAGTGCGTGAGCAGGTAACTAAGCGATTCCTTCAGAAACTTGTTCAGGGGGCTTAGGGTGTTAACATACCAAAAGTCCTGACTCCTAGGTGGTGAGCCAGGGGGTGGAGGGGGGAAAAAGGGGGGGGAGAAAGGTACGCATTTTGGGTTTTTTGATTATATCTCGAAAACTATCAACTTTTTATATACTATAGTAAATTATAAAATTGAAGAAGATTAAATTTTCTACAAGAAAAGTATATAATGTGTTTATTTTGGTTCAACAGATTACGAGTTATAACTTATTTAATTGATATCTTATTAAAATACTCCTTCCATAAGAAATACATGTAAATTAGTATGCGAAATGGGGCGAATCCTATCCGCCCAAAGAAAATACAGTATAACTGATATTCTCGAAATCTTGACAAAATTTCCAGTAATTTGACACTTTAATCGTGAAATTTTGTCAAAAATTAAAGCGAAGGTGAGCGTTTAAAAATGGGATGATTTAAGGTTTTTTTTATATTTCCAATAAAAAAAAAACACCAAAACTCGACATTTTGTTACCTCGCCCTCGCCTTAATTTTGGATCAATTTTAATGATTAAAGTGTCAAATTACTGGAAATTTTGTCAAGATTTCGAGAATATAATTTATATTTCCTTTGGGCGGATAGGATTCGCCCCATTTCGCATACTAATTTACATGTATTTCTTATGGAAGGAGATTTTAATGAGATATCAATTAAATAAGTTATAACTCGTAATCTGTTGAACCAAAATAAACACATTATATATTTTTCTTGTAGAAAATTTAATCTTCTTCAATTTTATAATTTACTATAGTATACAAAAAGTTGATAGTTTTCGAGATATAATCAAAAAACCCAAAATGCGTACCTTTCTCCCCCCTTTTTCCCCCCTCCACCCCCTTGCTCGCCACCTAGGAGTCAGGACTTTTGGTATGTTAACACCCTAAGCCCCCTGAACAAGTTTCTGAAGGAATCACTTAGTTACCTGCTCACGCACTCTACACCTCATTCCTTGACTGGACTATGTCTTTACTGTTGATAGTTTCATGATTGTAACATGTCATCTAAAATGAATATTTTGAGTTATTGTTATTGTAACTCCTGATTAATGCTGTAAGCATTACTTTTAGATTTAACCTTTGAAAAATGTCAACTCTCAAAGTTAATATAATAGTAAAGTAAATAATCAATGATTTAAAATAAATATTTTTATTTCCATCCATAATGTAGTGGTATCACTGATATATCAGAGGAATTGTGGTAGCTTTTTTTGACTTTAGCACTAGCAGTGGTTGTGTCAAATAATCGAATTCTCGATGGTGTTTCCTGCCGTATTTTCTTAAATTTGTATATTTATTGTGTTTTAATTGAGAATGTGGTGGTATTGAGATTAGTATTTATACAATTAACTAGTTTATTTGTAATTGTAGAAGACATTTTTTGGGAAATCTAGGAAAATGGAGAAAAGAAAATTATCGTAAGTATTTTCTCTTCTTGGCATATAGAAAATATGTTATATTACCTTCTGTTAGCATTCGTTTATGTAACGAATATAAATGTTACATTTTGCAGTATTATTTACATCATTTTGATATGTATAGGTGAACTAAAACAACTGATTTGGCCATTTATTTGTCTCATTCTTCTTATGCATAGTTAGTACCGCAGTTTTAATCGGATAAAGATCAATGCATGCAATATGATTCACTCCATAGATAGGCCTTATGCTACCTCCAGGACATTTCATATTTCTTGAGAATGTTAATTTGTTTAAATTAATGTAGACTATGTTTTACTTCCAAATCCTGTTTAAATTTTCATGTTACTGGATAATTTCTAAATAACGCCCACAATTAATTAAAATATCCTATACCCTTGTAACCTGCAAGTTTAACAACAAAATTTCAACTAGGCCTAGGGTATGTATAAAAATGTAATTTGAAGTTAAGTTACGAAATGTGTGCTTTTATTCAATGGAATTTGATGTTTATCTTTGTCTGTTCTAAACAATGTCCAGCAAGTCTAAATGTTTTCTCTTTCCCCAACTCACCTAAAATGTAGACGTTTTTAAACTAAGTTATTTCTACACACAAAACACTACTTAACTTTCTTAAATGACTTTTTTGTCGCCGAGGCTTCCTGTAGACACCACGCCTAGATTAGGCCTACTTAGTCACCACCCCTGAAAAACTCGCTTAAACATCGTGACAGGAGTTTCCTATAAGTTACTAGACACCACACTCAGAATACTAGACACCATTAAGTTACCATTACTAGACACCATAACCTAACTTAGATTAACCTAAACTTACCTAACCTAACCTAACTTAACCGTAATCTGGGTGTGGTGTCTAGTAATCTTGATATGTGTCTAGTACAGTAA